GCATCGCCACCTCCTCCGCCATCTCAAGTCTTCCCATCCGGGACTCCCACATCCTGAAGGAGTGCCTTCTCCCGTACGAACCTGGCTGGTCCTTACGATGATCTACTGAGGCCGTCCTCCAGGTCCCTGGCCAAATAGGGTGAGGTGGGCTTCTACCAGGGAGAAAGCACCCCATTGACGGAACGCCCTCCCTCCATTCACATCACTGGGCACCAGGCTTTTTAATTGGCTTTTAGCTGTATTTTAAAGGCATTTTAATTTGTACGGTTTCAGATTTTGAATGACGCTGCCTCGTTTGTACAGTGTCCTTGTTTTGCTTTCCATTTGGTTTTATGGCACGTTTTTACTCCAATCGCACCTCTTGATGCGTTTTATTGTAAACTGCCCAGAGAGTTTCAGCAGTTGGGCAGTTCAAAAATTGTAATGAATAATTAAAAATAAATAAATAAGCACGATTCTTATCCTGTAAAGTAGCCTTTACGGCAATGTTTCTCAACCTTGGCCACTTTAAGAAGAGTGGACTTCAATTCCCAGAATTCCCCAGGTAATCCCTTACTGACTGGGGAATCCTAAAGCGGCCAAGGTTGAGAAAGACTGCTTTAGGGACACCCAGTGGCTACATTTCCACAACATGCTTAACTGGCTCCTGGATTAACTCCTTTTCTGGGAAGGTTGCACAAGGCTTTGGATGATAAACAAAGCCAACTGGGGGGCGTACACAAGCCACTAATCTGCACACACTCAGACCGACGCATCTCCCTGGTTGTGCCCGAACGTGGCCGGGGTGGCACCAGCATGCAGCTGGAAGGGTTACGGTCGGCGCTGGGCTGGCGCCCTCGGCTATTACTATCCTTTCCCGCAAGCAAACGCAGGGGCGGCCCAGAAGCAGAACTCCCCCCCTCCAGCCAACAGTGGCTTCCCCGCGGTCCGTCCCCTGGTCTCCACTCGGGTCTCGAACCCGCAGAGCCGGGATCGCTGCGGCGCTGCCCTCGCGGCCGCCACCACTATCCACGCCCCTCCCGACTACGTTTCCCGTCTGGCGGTGACGCCAATAAAGCGCCTCTTTGTTTACGCATGCGCCCCCGCACGTCCATGGGAATCGTAGTCTGCCATCGCCGGACGCCGCGGAGGAGGGAGAGGTGGACCAGCCCGAGGACTACAGCTCCCATGAGCGCCCTCCCGCTTCTCCTTGCGTAGCGCACGTCCCCTTCGCAGCGGCGCCCTCGATTCCGCCATCTTGTTTTCCCGGGTGACTGGAGGAGGTGGCCGGCAGTGGCCGGCCCGGAGAGGACCGAGATGCTGGCCTGCCTGATGAGCAGGCCCATGCCGCCCGGGCTCACGCGTCTCCTGAGGGCCACAACGAGGCGCCCGTTCGCGATACGCGG